ATTACCTAGAATGTTATTTTTGTTTCCGTCAGTTCTGGTGATTGGCAAGACAGATTCTTTCAATGCATGGCAAAAAGATATTTCTAAATACATTTGGCAAGGGGGGGAAATGAGAATAAAATATTAAATACTGATAGATGCAAAAGAGACAGAAGGTTTCTCCCTGCCAGATATAAGATTATATTATGAAGCACCTGGTCTTTGTTGGTTGAAGGAATGGATGACATTGGAGAATTCACATATTTTTGATTTAGAAGGTCATTATAATATTTTTGGTTGGCACGCTTATTTATGGCATGAAAAGGTGAAAGTACATAAAGGATTTACAAATCATATAATTAGGAAAAATCTGTATAGAGTATGGGATAAATACAAAAATCTATTAGAGGCCAAAACACCACTTTGACTCTCACCATTGGAAGCCATAGAGATAAAGAAGAGGAATATGATAGAAAGTTGGACCACATAGAAATTTATTAAAACAAGAGTGGGGGAGTATCAATGAAAAGAAATCAAGGATTTATCAGGAAAATTAACAACATGGATACAATATCATCATTTGAATGAAATATTTAAGAGAGATAGAATATGAGAGTTTGGGAAACAAACATCACAATTGGAGAGAAATCTGTTGGAATGCAATGTAAAAGTGCTGTCTAAAATGTCTAAGGTACTATTAGAATGGGAGACAAAGGATGAGCAAGTAAAATCCTCAGTGATACATTGGGCAATAGATATTTGCTATACTATAGATATGGAAGCATGGGAATGATTGTGGCATATGGATATAAAATTCACAGCATGCTATTGTATGAAAATGTTATATTGATAGTACCTAACATTGAGTAAAAAGGCAAAAATGTATAAATCCAAATCAAATAAGTGTTGGAAATGTAAAGAAAAAGAAGGTTCTTTTTATCATATGTGGTGATCTTGTAGTAAGGTTAAAGCTTATTGGGAAATGATATATAATGTATTGAAAAAGATATTTAAAATAACATTTGTTATTTTCCAACCTCAATTCAATTTCATGATTGTATTGCTGGAAAATTGACAGAATGGTTGCAATACCATCAAGTCAATGATGTTTTTAAAGAGGACAAAAAATTAGGATTTGAAGACAAAAAATCGAAATTTCAAATAGACATTATAGAAAGTAAGTCTAAACTACTTTCAAAAATGTATAATCTCCTATTAGAATGGAATACAAATACGAACTTATAAAAGAGGCTATGATAAAATGGGCTATTGATCTAGGACACAACATAGACTATGATGTATGGGCCAAACTCTGGAATGAGAGTATAAAATTCACCGCTTGTTCTGCCTTAAAAGAGAATGTTATGAAGATGGTCTATCGTTGGTATCTTACTCCCACCAAATTGGCAAAAATGTACAGAACTAGGAGTAAAACTTGCTGGAAATGCAAGGAAAAGGATGGCGACTTCTTTCATATGTGGTGGTCATGTAATAAATTAAAAGAGTTCTGGGAATCGATTTATAACGAGTTAAAAAAGATGTTTAAGTATAGCTTTCCCAAAAAGCCGGAAGAATTCCTGCTAGGTTTGGTGGGAGAAGATATTAAGAAGACTGATCAAAGATTATATTTGTATGCAACAACAGCAGCTAGAGTTCTGATAGCTCAAAAGTGGAAGCAACAGGAGATGCCGACAATAGGAGAATGGCAGATAAAGCTGGTTGAATAAGCTGAGATGGCTAAATTGACACACAGAATTCACAATCAGGAGGAGACAAAGTACCAAAAAGAATGGTGTAAATTTTTGATCTATATAAGTGAGAACTGTACAAATTTGAAAACTTTGGCAGGACTGAAGTAAATCTTATGTCATGTTGTAATATCTAATCAAAGAAACTGTGAACTATAGAATAGAATAGGAAAACTGATGGAAGGGAAGGACGGAAGTCAACAGCTCTACAGAGCATAAAGTAGGATATATGTAATAAGATTTGATGTTTTACTGGTGTTGGTGAGTGTTGGTGGGTGATCTTAAATCTCAATAAAAATTATTTAAAAATAAAATAAAATAACATTTGTTAAAAACCCAGAAACTTTCCTTTTGGGAATGATAGGGGCAGAACTACCCAAACTGTATAGAAATTTATTCCTGCATGTGACTGCAGTGGTAAGAATGTTATTTGCCCAAAAATGGAAATAAGAAGTCCCGACGAAAGAAGATTGGATACAAAAACTTATGGAATATGCAGAAATGGTGAAACCTACCAGTGAAAAAAGATATCAAGATGACAAACTTTTTATAAAAAGAATGGGAATGGTTTATTGAATATTTACAAACAAACTGTAACCAGATAAGAACATTGGCAGGATTATGGTAATAACCTGCAGTTTTATTAGAGTATACATTTAAAGTAGATGAATAAATGATTAAGTTAATTTGGAATATGCAAAAAAGATATAAAATAAATAAATTTAAGGAACTGCAGAAAGAGGGGGAAGGAAGTTGACTTTCGAAATGTTAAAATGATTGTAAAATTATTGAAATGTATAAAATTGAAAATCACAAATAAACATTAAAAAAGAGAGTTCTGGGCACCTCAATTTAAGAAGGATATTGATAAGCTGGAATGGGTGCAGAAGCAGGCACCGAAATGATCCAGGGTCTGGAAACCAAGCCTTATGAGGAATGGTTGAGGGAGTTGGGTCTGTTTAGCCTGCGAAAGAGGAGACATCTAGATTGCATTCTTTTTCTTCAGAGTCTCAGGCTGGGCAAGAGCTAAAAAAAAAGGAAGGGGACACCCTTGTCCAGCCCAAGATTATGAAGAAGAGCAGGAAATGTTGAGAAGAACCAGGGCATATTAATCTTAAAAATAATATGGAGTTGTTTTGGGGGGTGGGGCTAGCAATTGCTGACGGTGGGGATGAAAGATGGCAAGTTCAAAGTACCCAAACAAGAACTGAGAGGGCATAAATCTGTACTGGAACTATTTAAAGTGTTTTCAAATATAGAATTGTTTCTAAATGTCCTGCTATCCGAACACTATGTGTTTTCAGGAAATGGTTTGTTAGATGAATGGATGCAGAGCGATTCAATGATCTCCATTGCTTTTGGATATCTGAATCTGTGGTGTGCACAGGGAGTGAATTTTTTTTATAACAAATGTTTGATAGTGGGACCTGCATGTATATGAAATTGCATATGGAAATTATTTCATTTCATTTTCAAAGAAACTGCTTGGATTATGGGAGTGTATACTCTTTTTTAACCCTGTGATGCCATTGTTTTTCCTAACTGCTGCCTGTTTTGGCTTCTTTTCCATCTTTCCTGGATTATCTGATGTATGATTCAGCCAGGCAGGGATCACACCTTGACCGGAATGGTGCCACATAGCAGAGTCAATCCGATTTGGGCTACATGATGTTGCAAAGGAGGGCAATGTGACTGAACAAGAGAACATTTTTGGCAGGAGTTCCCAATACAATTACTGGAAAAGGTTGCATTGTTTGACACAATTGATTCAACATGAATAGTGCTTCATAATTTAATAGGAATATTAACTTGATGAAACATGACTCCATCACGCATGCCCTCAAATCAGTTTTAAATAGATAGTTTGAAGAACAAAAACCACATGCAACTGCTCATGAATATTCTGTTTCATTGAAATAGGAAATTGTTTCATGATTACAAAATATCAAAGCACTGTTATGCGTTTAAATAACAGCCACAGGTCCTGATTTATTACTGGATGTGATGAATATGGAATCCACTTTTACACGTGGTTATGGCAGTCATATTTACATCATGTGACTTCATTTACTGATAACCATGGAACTCTTACATACAACAGAGTGATGCACTATCAAGAGCAGAAGTTCTTGGTGGCTTTGGGCAAGGCCCAAACACATGGCCTTAGTTTGTGTCCTCAGTGTCCAGGTTGATGCCCTGGAGAAGCAGCATGCAGCCGCTGGGGGACCAAGAGGCTGGATCCATCACCAGGACATCTCACATGCCAGCATAGAAGGTCTCCAAAACTAATGTTGTCCCCGATCTTCTCCACAGGCCTTTCTTCATGCTTAAGAAGCAATGGACCTCTTATCAAGAAAATGGCAAAGGCTATGGTTTTTAATAATCCCTGGCATCCCCAAGTAGATAGGGCTTTTGTTAAAAAAAGCACATTTCCCAGATTTTCCAACTGTGCAAATTCTCCATCAGATACCCCACACTTAAAATAAAAAAGGCAAATGAACACAAAGTGTCCTCTGCTCCTGGCTTACACTGCATATCAGGGACAGCTTCTCTGTAAGAGTCAGTAGGTCTTCGCTACTATACAGCAACAAGTCATTTATGAACCTGCCTTAGTTCAGTAATGTTACCTGCCTGAAGGAGAGGAGGTTGTGCCCCAAAAGAAGAATGTGTTTTAATTTGGTTTGGGCAGTATGTTTCAGGTATGGAAACTGAGTGCATTCTACATGGTATCCTTGACATTTAAGTGCTAGCCCTGTGTCAACACAAGCCAAAATGTTCTTGGGCAAACTGAATTGCAAGGCATTGTGGTGCTCCTGAGGTCATGTAACTTGGTGGATCAGTGCCAGGAGAGTGTATCTGTCTAGAACATGTCATTCTGAAAGGATTATCCATGCAAAGTTTTCCCAAGGATTGGTTGCAGAAGGAAAGCTTTGGGATGGATGCACCCAGAGTGGGTTGAGGCTGATCAGCTGCTGTGTCAGTGGTATATCTGTTGCCATGCAGGCTGATTAAAACGCTAAAAGCAAAGTACCCTCTGCACTGATTTGCCTTTTCCAGTCTCTTTGGAGTTTCTCAAAGTTTCTAGAGCTAAATGTCCCTGGTTCAGCTCACCCATGCCTGTGCAAAAGAAAGAGAAAAACACCCATTCACAGTTTTATTAGGATCTAGCTAATCCCCACTCAAAGGTATGCTTTCCAAGGCTGCTTTTTTCCATTTTCCCAGCAGCATCAGATGGTGGCAGGAGAAGATTCATCCCTGAGGACCTTCCTCTTCTTATGCATGGAGATAGGCGTCTTGCCAGTGCTCCCCTGACTTCTTCAGAGAACTGCAGAGGGAAAGGGGGAAATGGCCTCATGAATCACAGACACAACATTTCACAAGAGTTATCTCTTCCATACCCTACCAGGGCTGCTGTCTGTCATGTCCTCTAAATCTGGGTCACAGCATTGCCCTGACTGAGGGGGATTCAGACTTGGACAAATCACAGGTTGCCCGACTTGGGGAGGGAAAACTTCAGAAACCCCTTCTGTATCCTCCTGGCCTAAGGATGTGACATCATCCTCAGACCCCAAGGATAACTTCCCTGGAGCTTCTGCTGCTCCACAGCCATGTAGGAACATGTGATCACAGAGCCAACATGTGATCACAGAGCCAACTTTGCAACATTTAAGGATTGCTTAATGTTCCAGGGGGGTTCCTTGACAGTCATTTTTAACCTTGCTGAGATATCTTTCAGAGGGTTGCAATTGGGACCCACTGAAAGCTGTTCTGGCACTTGCCGTGACTGGAATAAGCTGTTTATTGCTTCCACTTTACATGTAGGCTCCAAGCCCAGTAGGATTTCCCCCACTCCCCAATTGATCCTACCTCACTGATCCTCCTTCAGTTATTTGACACTTACTGCAATATATCTGCAAAAGCCGTGAGCAGGGGCTTGCATTGGTACTCAATGCCATGCTTGGCACAGAGGGATTTCACCAGAGGAGTGACCTTCCAATAATTGTGGCGAGGCATCGTTGGGAAAAGGCTGTGGTGAAAAGAGGGATAAATGGGGTCAAGCAGCTAGCAGAGAACCTTACGTGAGCCAAAAGCATCCCAGCCCTGCCCAGTTCAGCCTTCCACGAACTGGTGTTCTCCAGATGTTTAGGATAACAACTTCCATCAGCCTCAGATAATGTGGCTGTGTACCATGCAAGTGTCCCAGAAAAACAGGGACATCCCATTTTTTATCACGAGAGAATGGCGGCCATTTTGGCTGCTGTGCTCTTGCGGCATGATTTCCCCTTTTAAAAAAGCACTTTTTCTGGGGTTGTGATCTCACACATTTTTGGGTACTATGCCTGGGAAAAGTGTTTTTTTCGGGGGGGGGGCAGAACCGTGGAGCAAAATCACATAATGATGGCGCTCTGGATTTTGGCTTCAAAATGTTGGAGGGTATTTGGCTGTCCAAGGCTGGTTTAGCCTATTAAATGTTTAGTTTATTAAGCAGTGCAAAAAGCACTAATGGCCCCCACCTGTCTTTCCAGGTGTGAAGTAAGATTCAGGATTTGGGGGTGATCCATTAGGGGCTCTCCCACATACATTCATAAAAGGGTATATTTTTACTCACTGGTGCTCAATCTGGAAGTTTAGGTGTCCTGTGTACCAGTCATTGAACAGGGATTGATCCACATTACACGTTGCTGCAAGCTAAGTGAGAAAGAGGAATGTGATGAATCCCACTTCTTTCATTTTCAACACACCATATTCCTTCATTTAACCTTTGTTGTACTGCATACTACTGTTTTTAATTGTTCTTTGTGGGTTTCTTTTCCTTGTTGGTACCGCATCTGAGTTGTGTGACCATTATGAAAATAGGCTATAATCACGAGTGGAGAACTATGTATACTGTGGAATTTTGGTGCTTGCACTGCTGAAGAGGCAAGTTGTTTTTCAACTGGAAAGTGTGTTTTCTCTGTAGCAGGCTGAAGAAACTTCAGAGAAACTTTGGACTCTTTCCCATGTTCCTCTGTTATTTCCACTATATTATTGGTGACCTCAGAGTGCACCAAATAGATCTATTTAAGCACTATAAAAGCAGCATTAAGAGGCACTGATCAACACATTTGCAATTTGTTATATCCACACACACACAATTTTCTTATACAAGAAGAAAAATAACTTTTAGAGTGAATTAATTGCATTGGGAAGTAGGAATAGGTGAATCTTCCAATTTTGGTTTCTTTCTGTTTCTTATTTTCTCACTCTTAAGTTCAATTTCCCCTATTTCCACATCAGTTTGTGATTTTTATTTGAAAAAAGTCGTCATGGACATTCACCAGCATTTTAATACAAATTTCTCTTAATATTCACATTTGTATGCAATTCTACTTAATATACACATTTTGCAATACAATTTCCTGTAATATGATGCAGTTTTGTATGTTATTTTCATGAACACATGCCTTTTAATGGACACTTTTATCCCAGTAAATTCACTTTTGTAACCATTATTCGGCGGGAGAACTGCATTGAAAAATTCAGAAAAGGGTGGCTTTTGAAAGAGGACTTTTTTTGGTTTTCCTATTGTTTCAGAAAATGCAAATTAGGTAGGTTAACTTGAAATGTGAACTGAATAGAGGGCAAAGGTTAATTTCATTCATCTGATTATAGTCTTCCCACTCCCCTTTTTATGACGATTACCCACTCTGGGATCCCACAGCTAATTCTCCCCTGGCCTCCTCGCTGGCCCAAATAGGACTAATTTAGCCAGCTAGCCCTAGTGATCATCTAATGTTTATTGGATGGATTTTCCCCTAAATTGATTTTTGAACTTTGAATTTATTGTTATTCTCCCTTTTATACTGTAGTTTATGCTGGGTTTTTTGTATCACAATTAAGTGTTTTAAATTTGTTGTTAGCCGCCCTGAGCCCAGTTTTCTGAACCAGGAAGGAACCAGGAAGGGTGGGGTATAAATAAAAATTTATTATTTATTATTATTATAAGTTGTATGGGTAAACCACAACATAAAGATCTGGCATTTGCCTAGCCTTAGGGAGCAAGCAAGATGATAAATAACTGGCTATTACGAAACAAGATTAGTACCACAAGCTATCCTTTCCTCTTGTCCACACTTTCTCCTTCTCTGCTTGTGTCAGGTCAGACACATAGTGTCTCTATGATCTTATGATCCCTATCTTTATTGGCTAAATTATGGGCCTTAGTAGACAATGGAAAGGAAGGCTTTGCAATGCAGCCTGTAGGGCTAGGTGTTGTCAGCTTTCCAACATTGTGATGTATCACCAGCCAAACATCACAATACAGTGGTATCTCGGTTGTCGAATGTAATATGTTCTGGACGATTGTTCAACTTCCGAAACATTTGACAACCGAGGCGCAATGGGTGGTGGGCAAAACCCATTGAAAAAAAATGGAGAAATATGCCTCAGAAGCCGTTCAACTTCTTCTTTTTTTTAATAATTTTTATTAACAGACCAATCAAATCAAATCAAATCACATAAATTCCAAATTACAAAGCCGAATTTTAAATTTTTTGTTGGGGGTACCCATATTTCAAGTTCCGAAAGGGATTCAATCCTCTTGTTGCTGCTGCTGCTTTAATGTCCACAGATCTGTCCAAATAGTGTTCACCATTCTATCCAATCCTTTCTTGTTATTTTCCACATCTCTTCTTGTTATTTTCATATATTTTCCCTTTCTCTTTGTGACCTCTGACAGAAGCCGTTCAACTTCTGAGGCGTGTTCAAAAATGGAAACATTCACTTCCGGGTTGTCGGCGTTCAAAAGCCAAAATGTTCGACTTTTTAAGCGATCGACAACTGAGGTACCACTGCATAGTGATACATCGCAGTGTTGAAAAGCAGAGGAACAAGCTTCAATGGTCCCAGCCCCACGAGGCACCAGGGTGAAACCGCATCAGCTCCCTTGGTGGGAGCGGCAGCAATTTCACCCGGGTGCCTCACAGGGCCGGGGCCAATGCAGGTTGTTTCTTCCGCCAGGTGCTGGAAGAAGATGGATTCAGGTGCAGGCAAGCCCCACCCATGATATACTGCCAGGAGAAGGCACCATCGCACTCTGGCTCCCATACCAGGCCTAGGTGATGTATCAATACATTGCCCAGGCCCAGCAGCCTGTCCCATAATATAGTAGTAGTAGTAGTAGTAATTTATTATTTATACCCCGCCCATCTGACTGGGCTTCCCCAGCTACTCTGGAGGCTGCAGAATGATGGGGGTGGAGACGCTCCTTTAGGTATACTGGGCCGAGGCCGTTTAGGTAACTTGCAACTTACAGGTAACTTGTAACTTACATGCATTTAACTTGTGCACATTCAGCTTTATGTTCTTCCATATATATATATATATATATATATATATATATATATATATATATCAAAAGGGGGTAGAAAGAAGGTGGACATCCGGGCGCGGGGGGGGGGGGGGACTTTGGCAATTCCACCAGTCATTGCACCCAATCTGTTTTGACAATACACGATTTTGGCTTTATGCACAATCCCTGGACCATAACCCCGGAAACATTGAGAGTTGCCCGTATTATTAATATTAACCCACCCTTCATCCTAAGGTTCCAGGGCAGATTACAACAATATACGATACTAAGAGTGGACTTCAGCATGATGCTCTTCCAAACATTCTGTTTGCACAAGCATTGCGGCTTGCCAAATGGAATAATCTCCCCTCTTCTCCAGCTGCCAGCCCACTGTTCCCAGCCCCCTGGAGCCAATTTCAGGAGATGTGGGGTGGGTGGAATGGGAAAGCCTCATTGTACAAGCCAAAATCCTTTAGCTGATGTGATTTGTTAGGTGTCTCCTTCCCTGTGCCCAAATATATTCAGGAATGAGCTTGTTATATGAAAGAAAGATGAAGATAAAAGCAGTAGTTATCTTACCTGGGCAGACACCCAGTCTAAATTCTGGTCATAGTTAATGTTCATTGGAATGTGGTTCATCTGCGAGATCCAGAGAAACCAAGAGCTTTCTAGGAACCTAGGCAGACAAGCAACAACACTAACAATCACCATCCAGATAAGCTAAAGGTAAACACATAGAGGCCACAACCCTTCTTTTTATTTTGCTTTGAAATCACTAGATCAGGAATGAGAAACCTGTAGCTCACCACATGCTGTTGGACTCTAACTCCCATGAGCCTCAACCAGCATGGAATGATGGGAGTTGGAGTCCAGTAACATCCAGAGGCCCACTGGTTTCTCAACCCTACATGAGACCAAAAGCCATTTAGAGCAGGGGTTTCCGAACAGTGGTCCATAAGCTTCAGTCAGGTGGTTTGCAACATGACTGTAAAAATGAAATTAAAAACCATTCGGCATCTCACACAGTGTATTACAATTACTACAACAGGCAGAATATTCATTAAGTGGTCCTCAAAGACACTCAACAATTTTCAGTTGGTCCATGGGTGGCTGTGGGGGCATCTAGAAACCACCTGTTTAGAGTAACCACTAGAGGAGGCACAGTCTCTCCTGTGAGGCACTTTCCTGGGCTGCCTTTGTGTCATTGTGGTATGAGGGTTTGACATATGTAGGAGCCAGTTTCTACATGAAGAGAGCATGTATTCTGAACACACAGCTCATAAATTAAGGAAAGCCTGTAGAAGAACTATTACCTGGCCAACCAGTAGTATGCCATGAAGCTCTTAAATCCCATTAAAGGAATATACATGAGACAGACGCGGACATTGTAAAGCATCATGAAAGCAAACTCCTGCCACGGGGGGGAAAATAGGTTAGAAAACAGTTGCCAGGTCCTTCATTTCAGATCTACTAACTGTATGCAACAACTATGGAGATCACAAAGGCCATAATGAAATATGGATGAAGAGCACTGTTTGCATGCATGAAAACATCCAGGGATGCTGTCGTGAAAAAAGCAAAGGACCTGAAGGGGATCAGTAATGGTCAAGATGGGACAAGATTGAATCTGATGGGCCAGGTAGATTTTCTACAGGAAGCTACATTTCTCTTCAAAGTGAAAAGAATTCCCGGAATAATTCATTGAAGGGATTTTATCCTTCTCATCTGCTGATGTCACCCAAGCTTTTTGTTAGGAGGGTGTTCAAATCAGAGATCCCAGTGAAGCTCACTAATCTCAGGCTCAGATATAAGATTCAGAGGTTGTTTAAGGAAGCTTTTAATGTTTAATAGACTATTGTATTTTAAGATTTTGTTGGAAGCTGCCCAGAGTGGCTGGGGAAACCTAGCCAGATGGGCTGGGTATAAATAATAAATTATTATTATTATTATTATTATTATTATTATTATTATTATTATCTTCAGGCACCAGAAGTTATTCTCAAACTCAGATAAAACTCAAACTCAAAGCCAGAGAAGAATTCCCATATTCTCACCCACCCTCCCCACCATCCTCCAGATCTTACCACTTCCCCCTAAAGCAGGGGTCAGCAACCTTTTTCAGCCGTGGGCTGGTCCACCGTCCCTCAGATCATGTAATGGGCTGGACTGTATTTATTTGGGGGGGGGATGAACGAATTCCTATGCCCCACAAATAACCCAGAGATGCTTTAAATAAAAGCACACATTCTACTCATGTAAAAACACGCTGATTCCCAGACCATTCACTGGCCAGATTGAGAAGGCGATTGGGCTGCATCCGGCCCCCGGGCCTTAAGTTGCCTACCCCTGCCCTAAAGCATTACCAGCCCATGACAGCAGGAGCAACATGGAATGCAGAGGAGGGAGATCTGCCTCTTCCCCTATTTCTCTGGTGTCCTGATGCATTACATAGTCAACAGGCCCATAGCTGCCTCATAGGAGATGTACTGGTAGATCTTCCAAGGTATACAGAGAACGACGTCTTCCCAGTTGCCTTAGCTCACTGCACAGCAGCATACAATAGCACCAGAGAGTGAAAGGAAGTGTCAGGACCCTACCTTTCTCCCCGCTCCCTGCATACTGCCACTGTTCCTGCTCTCTCTTATACCCCTCCCCAAACAGACTTATCCAGAGGAGAAACCACTGCAAATATGCAGGTGACTTACCCGCCATTTTTTCCTTTGAAATGCGAAACGCAATACAGCAAACTGGACGTATAAAACGAAGGTCAACGGGGCCAAAACTAGTGAAATCAGAAAACAAGAACATTACAAAGATGTAAATCACCCAAACTCAATACAGCCTATCTTTCTATCCATCTCTGGTCATACTGGCCAAATAGTAGTAGTAATAGTAGTATATAATAATAATAATAATAATAATAATAATACAATAACAATAACTTAAAATAGAATTCCATATTTTCATCAAATCATCCATCTAAAACTTTTGTCAAAAAAATTTATGCCACCCAATAATAATGCCATTGTTCTTATCCACAAGGCATGGCTTTACTAAAGGTTGCAATTTCCAGATCCATACTCCTGAGGTCCATCTCCTGGAGCCTTCTGGCGGTTCCCTCACTATGATAACTAAGATTATAGGGAACCAGGCAGAGGGCCTTCTTGGTAGTGGTGCTCTCCCTGTGGAACGTCCTCCCATCAGATGTCAAGGAAACAAACATCTATTTGACTTTTAGAAGACATCTGAAGGCAACCCTGTTTAAGGAAGTTTTTAATGTTTGATGTTTTATTGTGTTTTAATATTCTGTTGGGAGCTGCCCAGAGTAGCTGGAGAAACCCAGCTAGATGGGCGGGGTATAAATAATATATTATTATGATTATAATTATAATAAAATGGCAGGGACACTCACGGGCGAAGTATATGTGCTGGTGCTGGTAAGGCATGTATTTCTTTTTCTTCTTGCCAAGCTGCAGATGGAGAGGAGAAGCAACATGGTTAAGCTGACAACCATATATAAACTTTCTGAGTGCCAACTTCCATTCATTACAATAGGGATCCTTGTGTTAGCTCTAATGAGTACAATTGGGGAGGAGACATTATACATAGTAGGGTCTTCTCAGTGATGGCACCCTATTTTGGGAGCCTACAGGCCAGAGTTTCTCCACCATTGAGCCCACCAGGCCTCAGAGGTTGGCTTGTTAAGCAGTTCTGGGCAAACCTCAAAGCACGTGACGTTTCATCCTTACGACTTTGCAGCTGTGGCTTGAATCCAGGGACACAAAGGAAGAATCTTTCTTCCTTCAGCCACAGCTGAAACTTTAAATCACCTGCTGTCACCTGCCATCAGGTGACCAACAGCTTGGCCTGTCAAAGGGATATGTGGAGGGATGGCCAGAAGGCTATATCCATTTCTGCACTCCCGCTCCAGCCTGTCATGAGCAGAACAGATGCCATCTAGAAATAAGGAAAATAAGAAACTAATCTAATGGTATAAACAGCCCATCAACAACATCAGCTGCAGGAAGGAGCACTAAAGCTGTGTCCTGGAGATGGCATGCTTCCTTTCTTCCCAGGTTGCTCACTAAGAGTATGGATTCTGTTAACATGGTGTTCCCTTTTCTATGATTTGTGTCACTCCCAGTTCTTCTGCTCACCTCCACAGAGAGTGCCTTTCCCAGGCTGAACAAAAATGGGTGCATATTGAGATCAGGGTCCTTGCGGAAGCAGTTAGGTTTGGCATGATGCTGGTTATGCATATAATTCCATTGGCTTGGTGGTCCACCCTTCATACATAATGAAAACAGCATATATACCATTAATTCGTGGGTAGAGCTACATACTGTACTCATTCCTGCTGTATAAAGATTGCACAATATAAGAGATTAATAAATCTAGGTGTATACATTTGCTCAACTACAGCTGATTTTTAAAAAAACAAAAACAGGGGCACATGATACAACTTTACCATCCTGTACCCTCCCATTTCCTACCATCACATGTGAGTTCATCTCCTGCCATGTTCAGTTACTATTAAGTTCTGATATTTCAATCTAAAGGCAAGCGTTCAAAATTCACTCTCTGATCCTAAATAATAATGTGTGTGAGGGAGGAAAAACCCTCCCCCATTGTTGTTGTTTATTCGATTTATATACCTCCCTTTATCAGAAGATCCCAGAGCAGCGTAGAACATTAAAAACACATTGCATTACATTGTTTCACTTTGGAAGTAAGAAGGATGTGCCATCTATCTCACTCAGCTGAATGTATGTCCTTACAGAAGACTCCAGATCTGTAATGGCTCTCTTCACATCAGAAGAGCATCTCCCTGGCCTGGCCTACTGCCAACTCACTCACTGCTGGGCCTAGATGGCTGTGTGCTCCCTGGATCCTGCAAGTTTTTAAATATAAGCCAGACCAGCTTCCTGTGTTGAGGTGATCGACTGGCTGACGGGCCATTAAGGGAAACAAAGGAAAGGGGCTCTATGCAAGACAGCAAACTCATGGTTAGTTAGAAGGACAAGGCCTGAGTTTAGAGTGGAGTTTGCAGTGATATGACCTAGAAGCAAAGCAGCAAGGAGAGAGCGAGCGAGCCATGCTGAATCCAAGGCTGTGGCTATGGAAGAAACAAGACCCTCTTGTGATGCTAATGCTGTGAACCCCTCCATTGTAGACTCAGGTTATATATACATGTGTGTAAATAAACCATATATCCTAAAGACAACACAGTCTCTGTTGTGCCTCATTTCCAAATGGAAACATGAACCCTGAGTAAGTGCCTGAAATCACGGAATCTTGCACCGCTCAGAGATTAGGGTGGTATGAAACAGTGTATTCTATTGGCCAAAGACTCTTGTAACGTTTTAAGACGATATCTATGTTACAGAGATACGTAGTGCTTATTTAGTACCTTGACTTTATTTGTTCTTTACTTCCTAGTGAACCAGGATCCACTGCTAGGTAGTACCCAAATTATTCTTTAGCCATGATGAACTGAGGTATTCTAAAGAGCCCCCTTACTGCCAGAGTGAGGGGAAAGAGTTGCCATAGTCCTTCACCTGAGACTTTTAGCCCCAACAGCTGGTGTTGTGTAGCAAGCTGTTCAAATCTTACCAAAATCATGAAGCCACTAAGACAGCCTTAAACCATGAAGCCACATGAAGCCACTAAGCCTTAAACCATGCTTTTCATCACTTTGCCCCCTGAGTATGGACTAATAGAGTTGTTGTAGGAATGAGTGAGATCCCGTATCTGAAGCACACTGAATGCTTGAAACATAATATCTTCAACGCTATTTTCATTATCCTTGTTATCATCACACCAGACAAGCCCAAGAAATGGTCCTTCTTCCCCCAGCGAAGTGCAAAGAGGGCACTGCTATTGGGACATTGTCAGTTTATCCATTTGCATATCATTTTACCTTACATATTCCCATCACAATGAAGTGAAACGGTCTGTTCCACTTGGCCTTCTGAAAGACTGAAAGATGCCCAAGATCATGCTGTAAAAATCCATACTGGATCTGGAAGGCAAAAAGCAACACTAGGATAATGTGATGTGATATTTTGCCTACACCACACACACACACACACACACACACACACACACACACACACAACTGGACGCTTCATAAGGTCACCTCTTACTCATTGTCTGGCCTTGCTATCTATATGTATAGTGTTAAAGTGGAGACTAGAGATGGGTGAATTTGTCAATTTCAGCTTATCTCAGTTTTTCATTTCTCTAATGTTCAGTTCTCCACATTTATATATCACTTAGGGTAAAAAAGGGGGAATTTTAAGCGTGAATTGCTTCTAATATACACATTGTTGTATGCAGTGCTTTTTTCTTTAAAAAATGTTTAGGGGTACTCTCATTTTGACTCAAGAAAATTACCATTTTATAGTCCAAATCAGGAAAAATAAATACAGTAAATGGACAAAGATTCACAAAATGTTTAGGGGTGTGCGTTCCCCTGTGTCCCCCCTAGAAAAAAAGCACTGGTTGTATGTAATGTATGTTCCTCCAGCACTGCAGCCAGTAAATGGGGGCTCCTGCACTGACCCATTCCGCATAGTTCCCTTTGCGGAGCAGGTGGTGCACGCAGCTTGCGAGGAACTGGAGGCCAGCGTGGGAGTGTGAATTTTGAATGAAGGTTGTGTTTCAGTTTGTGTATTATTTAGAAAAGTGCAGATTTGGTTGGTTCGCTTTTAAATGTGAACTGAACTGAATTCCACCCCTATCCCTAGTAGGGAGACGATGCATACTGACTAGGTGGTGCACAAAATTCCCCATGGAAGCAATCAAATTGTGCCCGTCCTCCATGGTTCCATGCCCATGTGCACAATCACTAGTGTTCTTTCGCATTCTCCATCCAACTCACATCACCCACGCGTCTGAGCTGTCTCTGCAGTATGGCACCATATATTTGAGAAATGGTGAAGAATTCTGCTGCTGCTTTACACAATAAACTCAGGAGCATCAGTGCTAATTTACTGACCAGAACGCCAACAAAGAGGCTGGAATTCCACTGACACAATAAAATTCCAGCATTGTGGCTAGGGAGAATGCTATGAATCATAAAGCAGTTCATTAGTCCTGGAGGTGCTGAGAAACACCCCAGAGATCTTCATGAGACAAATACATTACCTGTGCAACGGTGAACAGTGCCACACCAACAAGGAAGGGCACCCAAGATACTCCAAAATACCAGATAGTCAGCCAGGATGCAGTATCTAGCAGGAAAGCATGTAGAAACATGAAGCCGAAGAAGAGAAAACAGGGTTGTAGGAGTCCCATCCTCTTCACTGTGGTGCGCAGCTCATGAAAATCATTGACCAGCATTGCCTGTGAGAGGTGCCTAAAGTTAATATCTCTTATCTGTGGTTATGTATGATGCAGACTGCGTGTGGAACAGACTTACTCATAGAAACATACTCTGGAAGGCACCCAGCCAGCAGGGGGACTGTGAGACCAGGGGATCACCTTTAGCTCAGTGTCTAACCAGGGACAGGTTAAAAAAGCAAACAATCCCATCTCCACTATCTCCCCATCTTCATTTCAATGAGGGATGAAGAGGAAGCTGTAGCAAGCAGATTCTCCATAGGGGTGGGCGTCTTTGTAGCTTGGATTGTCTGCAAAAGAACAGCTGGCTACATTCTAATAACTTGAAATACTGAGCTTCTGCAGCATCATGAAAAATCACATGCCCAGTGTGTGTTTTCTATTCTTCAGTGATCTCTAGGACACAATTCCTTAAGATGTTGAGAGCAAGGTTATAGGGTCACAAAGGGAGTCCTACACCCAGTTAGGTGCCACAACTAGAACATGTGCTAAGCATGTTACAGAATTGTAGTTGCAAGCTACTATTTATTTCCTGTATTTGTTATATACAGCGTTATTCCTACCATTAGACAGAGTTGGTGAGGGAGGGCAGTACCAGACCCCCGTATTTCCTCCTAAGTCCCCCAGCAACTCCCCTTTATCAGAAGACAAAACTGTGTATGTCATGTAGCCTACTCTCTGCCCTTTAAGATAGCCTGCTGGTCACAGGTGTGAAGATGGACACTGTCCTGACACCAGCATCACCAGCACTGAAGCTATGGGTCAGATTCCAGACCAGCAATATTCAGTATGTGTAATGGAGAGGGTGCCATCTTATCCTTCCTCCCAGGCAGCAAAATGTCTTGAGGCTGGCCACACCACATATCCTTAAAAGAAAGTTGCGAGGGAAACTCACATTTTTGGTTGGTTCACAGCTGGGTTGATCAGGTGCCAGCTCCCCAATTAGTAGGGGGCTCAGGTATTTCTCGACTAAGTCCTCATCCTTGTGGAAAGCGGTGAAAGCATCCTAAAACCACAGAGAGAACAAAATAGGGTGTAAAACAGAGGAGGCTGCTATGCTGAAGTGATGGAGCTGATATTCTGGGAAGTTTGTTTTGAGCTCCGCAACAAATGATACAAGGTGCTGGATGGTTCTCTTCCTTGAGGGCCGATAGTCTCAGTGATGCAGGCTGATGGGTGATTTTGGAATTACAGTTCATTGGACAGCTGGGATTGGGAGTCAAGAGAGGGGAGGGAGATACAATCAGGGTTTTTTATTTTAAAAAAACAGTCAAGTGGTGTATAATTTTTATTAAATAAATAAATACAAATTCTGAACAAGGAAGGAGATACGACTTGACATTTGGAAGGGGAAGTAACAGGACCTCCGTGGGCCAGTGAGGGGTGGGGGGAGAAGCAGCAGTAAAATGAGGGGGAGGAACTGTTGTGAAAGACTGAGAGAAATGAGAATGGAGGTAAAGTAGGTGAAAAAAATAAAGAGAAGCTTAAGAAAGGACAACATACTGAGAATTTTGCCTGGGGGATGTGTAACTTTGGGCAATTCCCTCTTGCAGATGTATGATGAAAGAAAATCCCAGTGACACATTTGGGAGTGACATACATTTCACCCGTTCACTGTTAAGTCAAATAAGGCACATATGAAGGCCACTCCATACAGAATTTCCCCACTGGTGCTGGTTCTCATTAGTGGTTCCCCACACAATTCTCTCCCCCCCCCCACTTGAGTTTCCTGAGTTTGCTGATACCTCCCTCTCTCAAGCGTGGGTGTGCTGCTGTTATCATTCCGTAAGTCCAAGCACTCCAAGACTAGGGTAAAGATAACAGTTGGGAAATGCTTTTTTTCTTCTGCATTCCCTTGGGGACATTTGTTTCTGGGCTGGCATATCAGCAATAGTTAGGGCCAGAGCCACACCATTCTGTCTCTGACTCTCTCTTAAAGGTGAAACAGGGAGATGTCCAGAGAAGTAATGAGGGGTGATGGCTATCTCAAGATTATCACACACACCCTACGCTATACTCTTTCGATCTTATTCTCTCTCAAACAGAGTTAGAACTGGGTGTGGGTGGATCCATTAAAGGATGGCTGTCTAAAACCCCCTCTCCCCACCACCCAAAGTAAGACCACTAACTCCAGCTTCTAAAATTAACCAGCTGCATTTTTGCACTCTCACCCCTGAACATCCAGCAGAGGCGGATTTAAGGGAGTAAAACTTTTCCTCCAAAGAAAGCAGCACAGGGAGAGTTTCCTCACCTTCTTTGTACCAGGCTCTTCTGCCAACTCTGTGAATGTGAGTATTTGTGTCCTCTGGACAGTCAAACTGAATGACCGAATTCACAGCAGGGAAATCAAGCCCCCGAGCCGCAAGATCCGTAGCAAAGACAACTGCTGATTTCTTGCCACAAAATCAGTGTAGACTTCCATTCTATTCATGTGCTGCTGCTTGCCCCCAAAGAGCCAGTATAGAGAGCCGGGGTCGAAGATGGCAAAAGACTCTAAACAAATACTGAACCTCTTTACAGCTTGAAAAAAATACAATACTTTTCTTATTCAGATGACTTCTCAAAAAGGAGTACAGCATATTGATTTTCTCGTGCAGTTCACAAGCAACATAGTTCTGTTTCAAAGTTGCTGGGGTACTGAAGTTTGCCTTCTGGTGTACTCAGATATATGCTGGGTCTCTCAAGCTCATCCAAGCCAGGTCCTCCACTGATTTGGTTTGCATGGCTGAGAAAAGCAGAGTCTGGTGCAATGCTGGGAAGACCCCAGAAGCCAGAGATGTAGTTAGGGCATTTCCTCATGTGCTGTGACGAGATTCTTGTTGTGGGAGTTTGTGCATGACTGACTGTCATGGTCCTGTGTGGCTGTGGCGCTCTGCATTTGGGAATTGTGTGGAGGAGAATATCTCTTTCAGGGGACTTAGATTTTCTTCTCCATTCCGGTTTGCCCTGCCCTGTGGACTGCAAGTGAACTGCTTTCAACCTTCCCACTTGGCCTGAGTGAAAGGAACTTAAACACGAGGACTACTAATGGTCACATTCTTCATCTTTTCTACCATCCTCAAAGATGCAGAGGGAAAAAGACAACCTGATGACTTCTGGTTTAAATTGTTTTGGAAGCTATTCAGATAAATGGTTGGAGGGGAGTTGTAGCAACAGTTATTGGTCATAATAGCTCAATTGTCCCTAAACATGATGAACAGGTTGCAATTAGTCCTTTTCTTCTAGAGAAAGGGTGCCAGCACTCACCATGAAGTTGTTAAGCAAGTGCCACATTTTTAATTAGTGCTTTTCTTCTAGAAAAAGGGTATATACACTTGAGTACCCACAAAAAAAGATGCACTGGTGGCAACCATTTTTGATCCTGGCATCTGAGGAGCATCAGTCAGTGACAGACTTGTTCTGTGCACCATAACTCAAATCTAAAAACTCTTAAAAGTTGTACTCCCTCTGGAGTAGAAATCATATATCAAACAGATGGAAAGCTCTTTAATCTGAGCAGGCTGAAAGCAAAGAGTAAGGTTACTGTAACTTCTGTCATAGAGCTTCAGTATGCTGATGACAACGTGTTGCATGTAGACTCAGAGGATGAAATCCAAACCATCCTAAATATCTTCACAGAAGCTTACAAAAAGCTTGGCCTATTGCTCAACATCCAAAAAAACAACAACCAAAGTGCTGCACCAACAAGCACAAAACAACCCCTCTGCGGCACCACAAATCCAACTCAATGATCACTTCACCTACCTGGGCAGTTATCTTTCCACAAGGACCAACATTGATGTCAAAACCAGCATCGCCTGAGCTCTGTGAGTGCAGCTTTCTCCCAAATGAAGTGCAGAGTGTTTGAGGACTGGGACATTCACAGGGAAACCAAAACGCTTGTTTACAAAGCTATTTTACTACCAGCCTTACTGTATGCTTGTGAAACATGGACCACTTATAAACGCCATCTCCAACTCCTTCGAAATATTCCATCAACAGTATAGCTGAAAAATTGTACACGTCAACTGGGAAGACAGGCAAACTAATGCCAGTGTACTAGAAGAAGCAAAGATCACCAGAGTCGAAGCAACGATCCTTCAACATTAACTTTGTTGGACTGGTCATGTTGTTCAGATGCCTGATTATCATTTTCCAAAGCAACTACTCTATTCCGAACTTAAAATAGAAAGCGTGCTGGTGGTCAACAAAAGAGGTTTAAAGACTCTCTCAAGGTAAATCTTTAAAAATGTAGTATAAACACTGACAACTGGGAAACACTGGCCTGTGAGCACTCCAACTGGAGAACAGCCGTTACCAAAGGTGTCATGGGCTTTGAAGACACTCAAACTCTGGTCGCAAGGGAGAAACATGCTAAAAGGAAGGCACACTTGGCAAATCCACACCATGATCAACTCCCTCCCAGAAACCTATGTCCCCACTGTGGAAGGACATGTGGATCCAGAATTGGCCTCCACAGTCACTTACGGACTCACTGTTAAGACCGTGTTCATGGAAGACAGTCTTACTCGGCTACAAGTGATCTACAGAGGAGAAGAAGAACTCTGATCCAGCTAGACCAGCAGTGAGTCAATGTTAAGAATACATAGGCCAGAACAAGTCGTGTGGCACACCTTTTTCTCTATAAAAATGTATAGAGCTTGCTTGCCTGCTAGTCCGAACAAGGGAACAATTGCATAGTTCCTATTTAATTCAGTGGATCATCAAGCATAGTGAGGCAATCCAAGTGTGGGCATGGTCCAATAACCAGAGTCATGAGACAAAGTCGGGTCAAACACAGCAGAGCCAGCCAAAGGTAGGCATGATTCCAAAAGCAAGACATTATTGGCAGGCACAGACAGTTTAGCAAGGGCCACAGAACAAGCTTCTAGGTTGCACATAATAATTAGATAATGATTTCTGATGTAATTGTGATGCTTAGCTTATTTCTTAGTTGCTGCTTTTTGAATAGTGTTTTATAGCGTGTAATTGTTTTATTGATGATTTGTTAATTTTGTGTTTTATGCTGTATTTGTGGCGTTCTATTATGTCATTGGCTTTTTATTGTTTGTAATCCACTTTGAGATTCATTTGAATGAAAAGCATCATAGAAATAAGAAACATCTAGGTCATGTCCAGGTGCTATGCCATTTCCAACATGAATGCTATTTTTAGTTGTTATAATGCTCATCGTTTTAGCAACAGAAATAAACTATTAGTTATTTCTTTTGAGATTAATTTCAAAGGTGTGCTGCATACCACGAACCAAGTAAAATGTTATCAGTGCTAACTTTAATTCATCAAGGTATCCCCATTCATTTTCCTGCTTTATTGGATTTATTTTTTTTATAAAAAAAACAAGCTGCAGATGAAAAGACATAAATTATGCCCCTTACCAAGAATGCTCAATGAAAACAAGTTTTCTTTCAAACTCACCAAGTAGACCCACTAAAATGAATTTACCTAACTAGTCACGTTCATTAATTTCATTGGGTCTACCCTGAGTAAAGCTTAGCTGAATGCCGCCCAAATAGCCTTTTCTTAGGCTACCCTTGATCATAGGCAGTGCTTTATGAATTTCAACTTCACTGAAAACACCACTGAATGAATTTGGTTGGGAAGCTATTGTGAGAGTATAAGGCTGTGCAAATAGAGAAATACAGTGGTGCCTCGCAAGACGAAATTAATTCATTCCGCGAGTTTTTTCGTCTAGCGAATTTTTCGTCTTGCAAAGCACGAAATCCCATAGGAATGCATTGAAATTCAATTAATGCGTTCCTATGGTCAAAAAAAGTCCAAACAAAGCCAAATTTGGTACAACAAGAGTTTATTAAGTGCTCTTTAAAGTCACACATACTGTAAAGAGCATTTCAAAAATTGAAGGAACAATAAATTAAGTTTCTAAACATGACAGAAAAACATTTAAAAATCAACAAAGTGTACAGTACATTTTCTAAGACTCTGGGGACAACTCGAAGAAGGTTCCTCTTCCACTCTTTGCTTCTTGCTGAAGAACCCCTCCTCAACTGTACCCCCAGCCACCCACCACACAGAAATTCAAATCCAGACTTTTTTAACAAAACAGCAGAGTGGCCCAATGGTCACAGAAAATCATAAAAATGCAGAAAAAACCACACAAGCTTCCAGATTCTTGCAAACCCCTCCCCAACACCAAGTCCTTGAATTCCAAACACCCCAACCCAAAATCCAAAACCCCCCCAAAAAAGTTTTAAAAGTTTAAAAGAAGTTTTGGAAAAGCTTCAAAAATCACCAAAGTCTTCAAAAACCTCAAAAAAGGCTACCACACCGCGTTCTATGAATTGCTCCTCGAAGTCAAGTCGCAACTGTATTAACGGTGTTAAAAAAAAGGAAACAAACTTGCAAGACGTTTTCGTTTTTCGTCTTGTGAAGCAAGCCCGTAGGGAAATTCGTCTTGCGAAGCAGCTCAAAAAACGGAAAACCCTTTCGTCTAGCGAGTTTTCCGTCTTGCGAGGCATTCGTCTTGCGGGGCACCACTGTATGAAATCCTAAGCATAACTTAATAAGAAACCACACCCACCCACACACCCAAACCTGAGAGATCTCACTGATGTTTCTGAAATTCCTCAAGGCTCCCCAGCGTTATTGATATTTTGTCTGAGGAAAACCCCTCAAATCCACTTGAATATCACCCAGACAAAATTTAGGTGGTGCTTCTGAGCAAGCATTTTTTGAATAATAATAATAATAATAAATTTTATTTATATCCCGCCCTCCCCAGCCAAAGCCGGGCTCAGGGCGGCTAACAACAATAAAACAGTACAAAAGTACAGCACAAACAACACTCTAAAATCATTCATTATAAAATTAATTAATTCAAGCCACTGGCAACCATTGGGCCAGAGCTCCGCGAAGATTGCCGAGGGAAGGAGTCAGGCTGTGCCCTGGCCAAAGGCCTGGTGGAACAGCTCTGTCTTGCAGGCCCTGCAGAAAGATGTCAAGTCCCGCAAGGCCCTGGTCTCTTGTGACAGAGTGTTCCACCAGATCGGAGCCACGGCCGAAAAAGCCCTGGCTCTAGTTGAGGCCAGCCTAACTTCTCTGTGGCCTGGGACCTTCAAGATGTTTTTATTTGAAGACCGTAAGTTTCTCTGTGGGGCATACCAGGAGAGGCGGTCCCGTAGGTACGAGGGTCCTAGGCCGTATAGGGCTCTAAAGGTTAAAACCAGCACCTTAAACCTGATCCTGTACTCCACCGGGAGCCAGTGCAGCTGGTATAGCACCGGGTGAATGTGATCTCGCAGCGAAGACCCCGTAAGGAGTCTCGCTGCAGCATTCTGCACCCGCTGGAGTTTCTGGGTCAGTCTCAAGGGCAACCCCACATAGAGCGAGTTACAATAATCCAGTCTGGAGGTGACCGTCGCGTGGATCACAGTGGCTAGGTCAGGGCAAGAGAGGTAACGAGGCAACTGCTTAGCTTGGCGGAGATGGAAAAATGCCGCCTTTGTTGTAGCTGCAGTCTGCGCCTCCATGGTGTCAAAGATTACACCCAAACTCTTAACAGACGGTGCTGGCACTAATTGCGCCCCCGCAAGAGATGGGAGTTGCCGCCCCAATCCCATATCGTCCCGTCCCAGCCACAGGACCTCTGTCTTCGAAGGATTTAGCTTCAACCGGCTCCCCCTCCAATAGGCCTGACAGGGTGGCTGCTGGTGCACCAGGTGGCCGGTACACCAGCCAGACAGCCAAGCTCTCCTTGGAGCCCCACACTAGACCAACACATTCAATGCCGGGGATCGATGGCGATGGTAGAGCCCTGAAAGGACAATCTTCCCGGATTAATAATGCCACCCCTCCCCCCCGGCCCACAGTCCGCGACTGGTGCAGGACGGAGAAACCCGGAAGACGCTTTGAAGCTTAAGGTTGCCATCTCACACATTATTAGGCTGCTTAAATCCCCTGGGATTGAAATGCTGTGGGATTTAAGCAGGCTAACATTATATAAGGTTCTAATCTACTATTTGCCCCATTTCCATGTCTGAAAGAGGAGTTGCAGACTCTTGCTTCATCCATCCATCCATTCCCAGATACAACCCAAATTCTTTTCTGAATAGCCTGCGACTTCTGGAATTTCCTTTTCTGTCCCTTCAGATGCTTCTTCCCTTAGTCTAAATCTTTTTAGCACCCTCATATATTATACAACGTTGGCAAGTAAGCGCCATATCATATGATCATCTGAGGCTGCCTTAAATTAAGTCTAACCATTGCCCATCTCACCCAGTCCTGTCCATTTTGCCTGGCAGTGGTTCTCCAGGGAACCAGGCAGATACTGTACCTTTTCTATGTCTCCTACTTGAAATCCACTGAGATAATAGGCAGTACCAAGATTGAACCCGGGACATCATGCATACAAAGCAGATGTTTGGCCATTAAGCTATGGTTCTTCCCAAATGCTCTGGGTCCCCAGGCCCCACTACAAACTCTCACCGTGGCATCTTGTCCTGCATAATGGCTGATGACACGGGTTCCTCCAGGGTGTCGCAAATGGAATTGGCTGATATCATAGATCTTCCTTCGGATTACCAGCCATCTCTCCTCCTTGAATTCTCCCTTGCCTGTGCGGAGTCCTATCTCCTCCCAGGTGAAAAACTGTGGGGCACCTGAGGCAAGTTCTGGCTTTCCCAGACTAGTGCCCGACTCTGGAGGCATCCTGACCGTCCACTGAGCACGTACAGCTCAGTTTTCCAGCTAACTACTCTGCTTCCACTCTGTCCAGTGGAAAGGTTGGTGCAACTGTGTCTCTGTGCTCCGCTTTTATAGAGACCTATTGTCATCAGCACACACCACCCTTTCCAGTCCATTGCTCCAGGCATTTTCTTTTAGAGCCGTCCTATTTTGCTCTTCAGCAATGCTTCATAGGAGTCACCCTTCACCAGTCATGTCAGCTCATGATTCTTCTTATGAGATTCAAAGAACACATCAGCGTACATAACGTTTTATCCTTTGGGGCTATGCATTGTGCAAGAGCTACAGCCCATTCTAAGAAAGCCTTTATCTACAAGTGCTGTAATCCTCACCAACACTTTGAATTTCTTAAGCCACACAATGCGTGATTTCTATACCACACAATGTGTGGTTGTATGTTGTGTAATGCCAATCATACTAATTGCTAGTGATCTCTGCTCTGATACAGCCTTGAGTATTGGTCTAGAATTCCTAGGCTTTGTGATCTGCTATAGCTCTATATTGTGGTAACCTCTACTTCACAGCATTAGGCCCTCACTCTGTTCAGTCAAAAGTATTGCTTCCCTCACTTGAGTGGTAGCCCCAAAGGCAGAGATTTGGGGGAACCATAGGGACAAGTATGGTAGAGGAACAGTATATGGCTGATGGTGATACCAGGACCTCCTCCTTGACTAAGTAGTAATGAGAATATTTTCATTTGTCCCCATCCACAATGAATACATGGCAATGTCAAGAAACCACTTGACAATTTTGATTTGACAGTCTTGTTGATAACATTACTATTTTAATCCTGTGGCACAGAATCTTAGTTCTTAGGCAGGACGAACCAGATGCACAAATATAGCGTGAGGGAGCTCTGGCTTACTACCAGTACATGTGAAAAGGATCGAGGGGTCTTGGTGGACCACAAGCTTAACATGAGTCAACAGTGTGATGCAGCAGCAAAAAAAGCTAATGCTATTCTAGACTGCATCAACAGAAGTATAGTGTCCAGATCAAGGGAAGTAATAGTACCACTCTATTCTGCCATGGTCAGACCACACCTGGAATACTGTGTCCAGTTCTGGGTGCCACAATTTCAGAAGGATGTTAACAAGCTGGAATGTGTGCAGAGGAGGGCAACTAGGATGACCAAGAGTCTAGAAGCTAAGCCTGGAAGGAGCTGGGAATGTTTAGCCTGGAAAAGAGGAGATATGATAACCATCTTCAAATATCTGAAGGGCTGTCACATGGAGGATGGAGCAAACTTGTTTTCTCTTGCTCTGGAAGGTAGGACTGGAACCAATGGCTTCAAGATGCAGGAGATTCCGACTAGACCTATGAAAAAATATTCTGACAGTAAGAGCTGTTTGACAGTGGGACAGTCTCCCTCGGGAGGTTGTGGACTCTCCTTCCTTGGAAGTTTTTAAGCAGAGGTTCGATGGCCATCTGTCATGGATGTTTTAGTTGAGATTCCTGCATTGCAGGGGGTTGGACTAGATATCCCTTGTGTCCCTTCCAGCTCTAATATTCTATGATTCTATGAATCTTTAGATCTGAGGGCATCCCAGCCCACCTGTTTCAACTAAAGAAAGCAACAACTTAGAATAGGTCTAGATTGATCCAGCCCATGTCCTGGAATGAAGACATGAGATATGAATGCTGTAAAGGCCTCTACGGCCTTAGAGCAAAATATTATAAAGCTTTAACAGAATTTACAATTAACATTTTGTGATTATCAGAATTGAATAGAGGGGAAATATGAAATGCAATTTAAAAAGATATAATTTAAGGTAATCATGGACTGAGAGGGGGGGAGTCGTGTGCTCGCGAGAGCGGAAGATAATGTGAAAAATTTGAGTATTTATATAAAATGGAAACTTAATAAAAATGATTTTTTTAAAAAGGAGATTCAGGTCTTCTTGTCAGATGTGTCCTTGTGAGCCCAAGTATCCTTTGGTCCAGGCGCACCCTGTTAGCTCTGGGCCAATCTACACTGTGCCCATCTCAGTAATTGTAGTAAAAATGCTGCAGACAGCATTCACTATCTGAGAAGGACTCACCTCCTCAGCTGAATGTCTCAGCTTCATTCTTCCTGTTTCTCCCCCCCCCCCCCACCCCCAATTATTTTTATTAAATTAATTAATTAATTAAATTTCCATAGATATGCATCTCTATGGTACGACAAGGTAAAGGCCCACAAGGGTTTTAAGAATCATGTAATTAGAAAGGCATTATACAATGTATGGACTAGATACAAAGCTCTCTTAGTAAGAAAAACACCAACATGGATTTCACCAATGGAAGCACAGGCCCAAAAAAAGTTAAATATGGAAAACAAATGGTTGAGTTATTCAGATTTGTTGTTAGAGAATCAGGAAGGTTTTAAATTAAAACCATTTGAACAAATTAAAGATACAGTGAATTGGTTGCAATATTATAAAATTAATGAATTATATAAGATGGATAAGAGAAATGGTTTTGCAACAGAAAAAACCAAATTGGAAACGGAGTTGTTAGATACTAATGATAAGAATATGTCTAAAATGTACAGTTTCAAGTGAATAAGATGACTATAATTGGAAAGGAAGATACATTAGTATGGGGTTCACAAATAGACATTCACACTTTGCCAGAAACCCTTTGCCAAATCAAGGACATAAATTTGTACTATAACTAAAGTAAAGAAGGAAGAGTATGCAGAAGATTTGAAAATCAAGAATATAAATGGGACGACCAGTCAGATTTGAGGCCTGATTGACCTGCAGGGGTTTTTCTCCAGAGTGAATTGGGGATCTCTAAAGAGTTTTGGGGTGATTCAGATATTTGGATGTTTAAAAAATTCTGTAGACATCATGTCTGTGAAAATTAAAACATTTGTCTCCAAACTTGCAATATAACGAGGGCAGGGAGAAAGAAAAGAGCTCTTTTGTGAATGAGAGGTCTAGCTTCTATAAGAGAGATTTTTATCTGGGTTTTCCTGCCACACTGCTTTGGGGACTGGATGTTGAAAGTATAATATATCACCTTGTTCTGTTCTGTTAATCTTTTTTTTTAATGTTATCCACAAAGTGTAAGGCTGCTTTTGGAGAAAAACTGCAGCAGTGTGCTGGTCCCGGGAGCTAACCGAGAGGTGAGGTCTGAGTCCAGTCCGAGGTCAATGAAGGTTGTCCATTAAAGCTGTAGCTGGGTCCAAGGTGGGGAGTCGGGTGGGATCAGGAACTCTGGCAGAAGAGCAGGTCAGGGTGGAGGCAGGAACAGGCTAGCAACAATGTTGCTCCTGCAACCTGGGACTGGGGCTGACTGGCTTTTATCTGCCCTGAGGCATAGGGCGGCCCCGGTCCACAGGTGACTCGCCTCTCCTGGCCCAGAGGCGAGCACTCCTCCCGCAGGAACTTAGTTCCCTCCGCCTCTCTGCCCTGAGCCTCTGCAGCTCAGGAGAGGCTGGAGGGTTACCGGACCCAGAGGCAACCTCCTCTTCCCCTGACGGGGCTGAGAGTGGAGCACCTGCAGGCAATGGGTCCTCCATCACTTCAGGGGCCAGAGCAGACTCAGCTGGTGCCTGCACCTGAGGATCCAGCACAGGTAAGGACCCTTCAGGCTCAGGCCCCAGCCCCGGCTCAGCTGGTTCTGGAGGCGGGGACTCCTGTGCAGGCTGGGATTCCTCAGGTTCAGCCTCTGAGTCCGAATCCCAGGCCGTCACAAGCAGCTATGCCCACAAATTTCATCTAACTCTGCCAAATATCAAAAAGTTATAGATGGTTATTGGGGGAGGGGGCAGTGTTTAAACTTGATAGGGGTCCAGCACAAAAACCCTTAGTCTGATTTGTCTGTAATCTGTCAGATATTTTCTACTCTAAAAGTTAATGAGCTTGGAGATAGCCCAGACAGTAGAGCACGAGACTCTTAAGCTGAGGGTCAAGGGTTCGAGTCTCACACTGGGCAAATGATTCCTGCATTGCAGGGAGTTTGACTAAATGACCCTCATGTTTCCTTCCAACTCTACAGTTCTATGGGTCTATGATTAATATTCCTGCAAATTTCATCCAATGATGCCAAAAATATATATTTATATAGCAGTTTTTAACTTTTCCCATAATGGAGAATGGGAGTGGCAGAAAGCATTGATTTTCCCAGTTGGGAATCAGATTTGGACCTCAAGACAAACCAGCTAGCCTCTGATCTGAAGCACTTCAAACCAAACCTTGCTGTTTCCTCAAGTGCCAAAGTAGAGTCTTTACCAAATCTTGTGGGCAGTGAACACCCCTAGCAAAAATGTTGCTATAATAGAGGATCTCTACTGCCATTCCTAAGGGACGCGGGTGGTGCTGTGGGTTAAACCACAGAGCCTAGGACTTGCTGATCAAAAGGTTGGTGGTTCGAATCCCCGCAACGGGGTTGAATGGTTTAATATGTAAAGGTTCATCATTGTTCCACTCGATGTGTATGTCTTTAAGGGGCCAGAGAAAGGGCCAGAGCAAAATAACGAGACCCAGCTTTACAGCTGTGAAACATAGCAGGTGCTGCTGAGTTGTATTGATTAAGCTGTGTTGGTAATTGGGTGTAGTATATAAGGAGCAGCACCTAGCTCTCCCATTACCCTGGGGGATGGGTTGGTGGTTGGGTCATGTTTGTTTGTTAATGTATTTAGTGTAAAAGGAGTTTTTGTTTTTCTTATTAAAACCTTGTTTAAGTTATTTTTGAGTCCCTTTTTAATGCATGGTCTCCCCAGCAAGCTCTCTGCAGCGCTACCATACTGCAAAAAGCCAACATCTTTGGTTATGGGCCCAGCTGCTGAGTGGATGACTGCATATTTTTGGACTCTGAGAAAGGTTTGAAAACTCCTTCTCCTGTTAGCGTAGTTCTGTGGGTCTGGAAGAGTTCCAGAATGGTTGACCGGGTTCCTGAAGCTGAGAAGGCTCTGGTCTTCCCACAGCTGACAGATGAGAACTATAGTTTATGGTCTTTTCGGGTGGAGGCGCTTT